ACTGCTATCAAAGAGCAAAATTAATTAGATTTCATACAGCTGCCACTTAGTTTTCAAATTCACAAAGAAACTTCCTCAAAAAATAGTTGCACACCTTTCAATTGCAAGACCTTATATGAAGTGGCACTCCCCTTAAAAGTCTGTGCCTCCATGGTAAGGTTCAATGATACTGAAAAGTATAAATTTAATGTAGCCTCTGATAGCATGATACCAATCATAAATTTAATTGAAATCCATCCTGCAGTTCTCGAGTTGAAACAGGCATGCAGACGTAACCAGACCTATATGCATTCATTTTAAGAACACTGTACAAAGAACATACACTGGCTAGATAAAAAGTAGTGGCAAAGCCTCTATAGTTCTGAAATGACTTTATTACCTGAGGTAAACACACTTACATTCCTTCAATATAATTGCCCCCCATGTGTACCACCTTCTGCCAAATTTGTGAAAGCTGTCATACAACATCAGCGCGCCCACTTCTGTTGATGTCCGGCAGTGATGGCCCTATAGCACGAATAATCTCCTCTCTTGTGTTGTAATGTGTCCGTTGCAATGGTTCTTTCATTTTGACAGAGATCATAATCACACGGACTCATATCGGGTGAGTATGGCAGATGCAGTATCTCCCATCGCCAGCAGCGAAGGAGATCCTTGAAAGCATCAACAGTATGGCCCTTGTGTTGTCATGAAGGATGATGGGGTTCGTTGCCAAAAAGTGTCGTCACTTTCTCCTGAGTGCTGGACAAAGATGATTATGCAGGAAATTGCAGTAGTATGTAACGTTTACTGTCTGTCGTTGAGGTACAGTGTGGTGCAGTATCACTCCATCAATGTCATATGCCACAATGAACATTGGCCTCACATTACTCTGTGTAGGGAGCATTTTCTTTGGACGAGGAGAGTCAGGATGCTTAAATTTATTTGATTGTCACTTCAAGTGCAGTTCGTACGAGCGAGCCCAAGTTTCGTCCAGAGTGATGATCCCTCCAAGTAAGTCGTCACCTTCCTTCTGGTTCTGGTCCAACAAGTCCTGTGCAATTGCATGACATCACTGTTGCACCTCGGACATTGTATGGGGTACCCAATGCACTGCAATTTTGGGGTATCCAAGAATATCATGCAAAATGTGGAGCACAGTTTTGTGACATATGCCTACCTCAGCAGTAACTCCCAGCCAGCTCACTGACAATTGACATCCAGCAAAGAAGCAAGAAGCTGAATTGTGTGGTTGTCAACATGGGGTCATCCTGAACGACGGCTGTACTGAATGGCATCCCTTCCTTCACGGAACAATTTCACCCATCGTGCCACTGTGCGATATGGCAAAGTAGCATCACCACATGCTTCTTGCAGTCCCTGATAACATTTTTGTGCACTACGACCTCGTGCAACTTCAATTTTTATCCAGAAGCATTTCTTGAACTGGGGTCCTGCACTTCAAGACGATCCACAATGCAACTCAATGAAACACAACCAGAGCCACTCATTGCACTACTTCAACTGAACTTCTGCTATCAGCTACAGATGGCACTAGTGCCACCTGACGCACATCTTTCATGTTACAGCAGTGTTCCCACTACTTTCTATCCAAACCTTGTATAAAAATGGTGGCTGGTAGAAGGCAGATGTTCAGTTCCTTTGTAATCTCACAAGTTAGTACCACCAACTACAAGAGCCCATCACCACACTGGAGGACCACACCTTGCTGCACATCTGCAAATTTTAATATCTTCCATACATAGAATCCGCCTGCTACATCTCCAACCTGAGAATGTGTCCCATCTTTGCAACAAATGACTTTATTTATATAACTATCATAATGAATATCATTTCCCTTAAATAAACAGAGAGATCAAATAAGACATGACTTAGTAAAGGCTCATTTCTGCTTCTAAAGCAACATAATCCCAGAAGTCTTTTCCTGCAGCTGAGAAAATTCATTACTTTGAAATCACAGATAAGGCTGATTACATTACTTTAGAGAGGACTGAGTAACTCTTCATCATATTTTAGCCATCATTCCTGTCAGGCAGAAAAAAATTATTTGAGTCCACATGTAAGATTGTCTACTACTCTAAACTCTTAAAACAGAGAGCATTAATTCTTCTTGCACTGAAGCTTCTCAAAAACACATATATTCTATGACCTCAAATATTTCTTCAAAGGCAAATCATACACTTCACTACCACATCAGCCCTTACTTCAAGGCACACATTATATCATACCTAACACCCCCAGGCACCCACCAAAAGACTAAATTAATATACAGCACAAAACTTTAATTTGGCCTGATTGGGAGATTATACACAAAAGAGGAAAAGTGTAACATAAGAGAGTGAAGGGCCAAAATTATATAACAAGACAAACTTTTACAAATGTTCAACGAAGTGTAACATTAAATGTACACAGTGTGATGTGCACTATAAACTTACTACATGTTACCACATAAAAATTCATAGTTAACATAATTTACTGTTTTCTTTTATACTTTTCCACTTTTTATATATTACTTTAAATCTTTGCACTTGCAGTATGGGATTCTGTTTTGTGCATTCCACTTAATAATGGCTGTTAATAGTTGACATATGTCACATGTACAGAACTATAAGGCTTATTTTGGACTTCATCCATCGTCTGGTATATATAAGACAAAAAACCACAAGATTTCGGACCAGAGATTGACACTAGCTCTTTCTAACGGGCCCAACTGAGTAGGTCTATCCTGCCCCATCCACCTGAGGATGGAGACAGATCCAGTCTCCGAAACATTGTGGTTTTTTGTCTTATATGTACCAGATGATGGATGAAGTCCAAAATAAGCCTTACGGTTCTGTACAGCATACACCATCGTCAGAATCCTTTCAAGTCTATATGTCACGTGCTTAGAAATAAAAAACAAGTTGTTTTAGTACAAATTTGTTTGATGATTGATCTCAAGCCTAGAATCCTTAAATAAGCTAATAAGCAATAAAATACAAGTTTCGGTTGATGCATAGATGTGGCTGCTACTCAACACACTGATTTCCCATTAAATTAGGCCATTCCATGTCATTTAGCTCTACTCTTTCCAATTCCTTCATGCCACACTCAACAAAACCAACACACATCGAAAATCTCAACATAGTACACCAGGTGGGTTCACTATGCAGTCCCTGATCAATTTGTTACCTTAGGTAGGTGGATAAAGCATTGAAAAGGGTGTGACTCCACTCACACTGCCTTACTTGACCCACTCGTCACATTATGCCTAGCACTGAACACAGAATGGAACCTTACTCCTTCTGTTTATGGATACAAAGGTTACTAGTTTTAAATTAACAAACTACTGTTCCTGCAGGAGGGGACAAGGTATGCTGCTGACAGGTTAAGTTGCATTATTTTAGTTCACAGTCTTCACTTCATGGCAGTATGATCACAATTACTCTGCTAGTGAACTGGGTTTATAGGGTAAACTTCTGGCAGCGGAGGAAACATAATATAAGGAAAACCCAAAATTTTTAATCCACAAGTATTATTTACAGGCCTATACTACAAGCTGCAGCTACACACTTTCAGTCTTAGTGTTAGCAATTACTGTTAGAACAACATGTACAGCTTGCCTGGGCTTTATTTGCTGCAAGTATATCGGGCACAACACAGACATAAGAGAACGGTGTCTCTGGCCATACGAGTAAATCGTTATTTATGAGCCAAGTGCTGTTCATAATATGTTGTTCTATTTCTAAACAAAATTTGTTAAAAGAATTGCAAAATGGTAACAGCAAAAAAAGAGAGAAGCCTCCACAGGCTGTGGAGGCCCATAAGGTTGTGAGATGTTGAGGCTCCAAAATTTTCTAGACAGTCAGTTGACAGAGGTTGTCAGCCTTATGCGCTGACCGCCCTTTACCCCCGGGGAAATTTCTTGTACTCATTTCTGTCAGAGGCTATGTCAACTCCCAGGGCCATGGTCCACTGAAAAATCCAATGACCTAATCGGGAATTGAACCTCTGACCTTCCAGCTTGTAGCTGTGCTACCATGTGCCCCTTACTGCAAAATGGTAGAAGATTTAGATGTATTGATTTAAGCAATATAAAACAAAATATTATAGGAAATTACCTGAACACACGCCATAAAAGGATAAATGTTTAAATTACTAACAAAAATTCTGTAATACATTTTATGATGCCTGACAAGTTGTAATGGGTACTCATAATAAACATCCAGTCAGTGACAGACTGAAGTTTTATAGGGGTATGAAAAAATCAGCAACTTTGATCCCTTATATATTTATTACCTCATAGCACCACATATTATTGCTGCTACTGCAAAAAAAAATTGCATAAGATTATGATTGATTGATTGATTTCGTCACTGTAGATCATTGTACATGATATAGGACAAGTCAAGTTAATTCTGAATATTAACAATTTAATATATGAGTAAGATTAAAATTACAATAGTTACAATTGTTTACAGTTGATTACAATTTAGAATTAGTTAGATATTCTTATTTGTGGAGAATTTGATGGAATGAAGATGCTAAAGTATGCTAAAGTAAGAGAAGTTTTGAGTACAATGGAAGATCACAACATCTACATTTTTATATAAAGATAAAATGTGCCTGAAAAATCGTCTTACATCCGTAAGGCATAGAGGGTCAAAATTCCTATCTCTCTGAACAAATTCTTACACATTCTCTGGGAAGGCTAGGAAAAAGAGGTGGCATAAGAGAAGACAAATTCATCTATAACAGTGCTTTGAAACATCATCAAAGAGTAAAAAACAAATTATAAACAAAAAATGTTCCCTTTCCCAAACTAGATAATCCATATCTCATAAAAATACTGTCTGCTTATAAGCAACTTTTGTAACATATCCTTGACCTGGTTGGAACAATGAACCTTCCATAAAATTGTAGATCTCTCTACCTTCACCCTATCATAGACAATAAAAGAAATTATTCTTATGTCAGTAAATGTCAATATGCCATAGTATCCAACTTTAGAGATGACATACCTTTAAGAAGTGGGAGCGGCTGCAATTCCAAATCGGCGGAATTCCTGTATCTTGATGAACCCTGCGACTTCTTGGTTTTCTTCTTCAGAGAGCGCTTCGCAAACGGATCTATTCTATCCACAAAGGCAGCCGAAGACATGTTGTCTCTGATGTGTACGTTACTGTAACAATCTTGCACCTTTCATGAACTTGGTTACTGGAAGTTGCCTTCAGATTCCACACTAGGCATTAACTCACACATCACCGATTATTGCACAAAAAGCCGAAATTTAGAATACCCCCTAAAGTTAAAGCACGCCTTAAAATAAAGACACCACTGTTTTCCAAACCACAACAAAACACTGTAAATTCTGCTTATACTGTTCACAAAATAATTATGTAGAATTCACTGTGTTGCTTTATAACATTTATCCCAAAACTGTGTAAACTGTCGATTAAAATCCATACCGATTGAACTTGACAGCTCCTATGTTGCACGCCCAACTCAACTCAACTCAATACTGTGCCCAGGCTTATCGCCTGCCGGTTTCAAGATTACTGAACACAACACGAATTCGAATCCGCAAGCAAATTGCTGCAAATTAATATTTCCTACAAGCAAAGCATGGCAGACCATCCCACTTCTATTTGCTGCGGAACTTCACGCCCGTTTTCAATCATCCAGAGCTCAGATGACTCCCAAGATCAGGAAATGAGAGATGCACAAACAGCTCTCCACCGCCATCATCTGCTGATTTTCTACCACCTCCTTCATTTTCGTAACAAACAAATATTTTGCCTAAACACAGAATACAAATGGCACATACCTAAATTCTAAATAACTGCATTAAAACAAACTTTCAATTACACCAAAAATGTATAAAATATCACTTTTTTCATAAGTTCATTAATATTGGAAATTAACCCGTCACTGGTACCTTGTGCTGAAAATAGTAATCTAGATATCTCGCAATGTACGAGAAGAAACAAACTAAACGTTCCTTATCAGTACTACCTGAAGATGGCATACCAATACAATGCGAATGAGTCATATTGTAAACTACAATACATGTATATATGATTCTGCACTGGTTATATAGATTACTTTCAGTACGATTTTTGTTATATATGTTTTAAAATATATTATCGACGAAAACGAATGATCACATTTCCAATCATTAAAACCTAACTTGAAATAAATCGAAAGTATAGTATGACATCCAAAGATATAGTAAAATCGGATCATACCCGAAAGTAATACATGGAGTAAGTTGAGTTTATCGTTCTACTTTTTCCCGATGAATTACTGTTACTAAATATACCTACCAAAAATGTCTACAATTGAGGGACAACAAAATTGAAAATATGTATTCAGAAACTCCGTATTATACCTTCCCGCTTTCTTCATTTTGGTCACAATAACGACACAAGTAAAATATTACCAGAAACAAAATTTCACACACACACAAACAAAAAAGCAACAGAAAGAGAGAGAGATTAATTTAGGCTTCAAATCTTTACGTGAACTCTTCCCACGTACTCGTGTTTATTCACCTATCATAAGCAGTATTCCATGTTAAAGACTGTTCTGCATCACATCTATGAGAAATTCCCGAGGCCACGTGCTTTCATACGCAAACAAATAAGTAACATCTTCCTTGGGTTAGTAGAATTTCCCATTGTAATTAATTATATGCTAACAGGATAATGGAAAAATACACTCATTGTCTGATTTTACATAATTTGCATGTTTAGCTATATATATGTAGCAGCGTTGNGAGTTCATCTCAGAAGGACAGTTAAACAAATAAGATTCTCCTTGATAAATAGATTTAAGTGTAAATAAAATGACTATTAATTAGATGAAGTTTTTAATATGATTCAGCCTATAAAGGGAATGGAAGTCTTAAAAGAGATTGCACTCCAAATTATTTAATCGTTATCTAAATTGAATTTTATCTTTTGTGGATTATTTTGATATAATAGGTTTAAGTTGAAGAATATGACGGTGGTAGTTAAGTTATAGTAAGATGACCTTGTGTTTTATAATGGAAGGTAGTCATAAATTTGATTGTACCTAATATATTTTAATTATTCCAAGAGTGTTATTTTAATTGTAATTGAATATTATGTTATGTGATATATGATTACGTTCAATCGATTGGGCAGGAGGCCAATTATGCTGGAAAAGTTGTATATGTATGTGATTTCTTTCAGAGATGCAATTTGTAAGTGTGATGGATGGTAAATAAAATTATTATTAGTCTTATCGTTATTAATATTATTATTATTATTATTATCATCATCATCCCTAGGGCCATTCACATAACATTTTACTTTCTTTAATATCAGACACATATGCTTCATTATGAAGAAAACGAAGCACAGATTTTATTTGACAGCAGTGTCAATCCGAAGAAAGTGATGTTTGGAAGGCAAGGGGACGAACTACCACGCTTTGTCATATGACTTAATGTAACTGTAACCCTTGTTTGTCAGTTCAACTAATAGATTTAGAAAAGCCATACTGTTGACCTGAATTACTTTATTAATGCTCCATTAAACTAGACTGGCTTAGTTCTAGATTTACATAGAGCTAAACACTAGCATGTTTTATTAAAATATTTTATTTATTATCTTATTATCTGTCCATCTCCATACTTGACTCATACACTGTCTAAGGTTATCCATTTTGTATGGGGTCTTCTGCATTATCAGCCATATAAGTTTTTTGGTTTGATGGTGGTGATTCTGATTGTGGTTTTGTTGTTTTCTGGTTGTGACATTTAACGTAATCTTGTAGGCAGACGCAACTGAATGCTAGGAAGCGTGGGGAAGTGTACATTGGGTAGACCCTCTAGACCTGGTTAATGGACACCATCACATCTGACTGGAGAAGTCAGGTGTAGCAGAAGACAGCATTTACCTGAGTCAATGAGTCCTGCTCTTCAGTATCAGCATCCTGCCCCACCAACCACCGGGGCCAGCTCAAAGGGAAAGCAATGGAGATTGATCTGTACAGTAACAGCATGAAGGAGGATAGGTTCTGCCTGCACAGGTTACAGAAGCCTCATATCCAGTTCCTGAAGGATAGGAGAAGAGGGTTCTCCCCTGAGATGATGAGACTCCCCACCCAGGCCCGTGGAGGACAGCAATTTTTCACTTGTCATTTCCTTCCAGCTGTGATGAACTTCTGTGGCTCCTGAAAAGGCCGATTTCCTGCCCAGTGTTCCTATTGACCCAGACTAAACTCCATATCCCACCCCCTTGCATGGATCTGAGTGACCATATTCCATGCAACCTGTCTGTATAACCCATTTGACTCCTCTTGCTATACGAGTATACTTCAAGCCTAAACATGGAGGCGGTGTATTCCCCTCAAATGTTGGTAACTGCCTGCAGGAATACACAGTATCACAGCCCATAAGACCAGAATCTTAATGTTGTTAGGTAATCGTTTGTCTTGAATGAGGCAATTACACACATGGAAAAACACATTCTTAGTCTACAGATTGCAATGTTCTGTTTGCCCAATGCACATTTAATAATAATACTGCAGATAAAAGAAATGAAATTTTCTGGTTTCAGCATTATCAACGGCTTTGCTCTACGGCTGAAGGCAGAACACAAGCAATTCCTCCTAAAGGTTCTGCTGCTACTTCACAAAGTTAAATGTTTGTCATTGTTCCATGCACAGCTGGCATACTGTGTGGATCAGTTCCTTGAAAAGGAATCCATGCTAACCGAACTTGTTGTTAAAGGGCTACTCAGGTTCTGGCCTAAAACATGCAGTGAAAGGAGGTAAAATAAACATTAGAATAGTTATTGTCAGCCAAGGTAAATAAGGCACTATTACAAGTTACTTAAGTAGTAAACAAATTGTAATTGTATCACTACACATTTACTAGAGGTGGCATAGTTTATTTTACAGTAGTTACAAAGTGCAGCTTTTGCAGTATACCAAGTAAGTTTACATGTCATATAGGCATGAGCACTGACTGTGTAATGTGGGTATCTTTACAAAAGTGGCATATACCAAATGAAATGTGTAGATTGCCCATTGAAATACATTGGGCAAACGGGCCGAAATTTAACACTAGATATAGAGAACATGTACATTATAGTAGAAATAATAATAGCAATTCCGGGTACTCAAATCACATACTCAATACAGGACATCCATACGGAGCAATAACAGACGTAATGGAAGTTATAACAACAGGAAAGAAGGGTAGACATTTGAATACATTAGAGAAATACCATGTATATAAAATAAGTAAGAAGGGCCTACACATGAATGACAAACACATAGAAACATACAATCCCATATTTCAAACGATACACGAAATCCATACAGACTAACGGTACCTCCCTCTCCCCACTACCCATTCCTCCTCCAACACTCACCAACATAAAACACAGCACACAATACACCAGACAGCACACGTATTAAAGATAAGCAGCGACACACACAGAGAGAGCCTACACAGAGTAAGTACAAATAACAGTATAAACATATAAGAATAACATAATGTAACATAAGATAGCAATACGAATATTTGTATATTACAGACAATACCTGAACAGCGATAAAACAAGAAGTGGCCGCTGCAGCACTATAGGCATAGGGCGTGTACCCCGAGAAAATTTTAATTTTTAAAATTTGGAAAAAGAAAAAGAACAGGAAATTAATAGACATTTTAATTTGAATTGAAGTTTTAAAAAAGTGCCAATTTTAGAAATCAAATTGACGCATGTAGGTTAACAAAGATTTTATACATACATACAATTGGAAAGACTGGTGATTTTAAATTTTAAACTACGGGCAGTGTAGCAGCTACGTAAGAATACACACCTGATGATGGCCATTTAGGGCCGAAACATGTAGTGTGGAGGAAGGGAAGAAGAAAGAACTACAATTAAATTTTTGCACTTAAGACGGAGTTTGTCTCATATATATTGTGTGAGTGTAACAGGATGCTTAAATATAATATTGTAAACAGTTGTCACACAAAAAGCATTTATAAATATATGAATTGTAAACGGAAACTCTTACACTGCAACACTAACATAAAATTTAACAAAACCTGTCTAAAAGAAAAGCTAGTACCAAAATACACATACATGAAAATAACATCAAACAGCGAAGCGGCTTAGAAAACACAAATACCAGCCCAAACAATACACATAAAAAATGAAATAAAATTTCTATACAAAAAGAAACAACAACTAAATACACAACTCTATCACATTCACATACACAATGCAAACACATGGCAACGAACATGGAATAAAATCGATCAATCAATAGAATAAAAATTACAAAAAGATATGGAAATAACATATCTAAAACAACAACAAAAAATAAACAACATGATGAAAAAACAAAATACAGATACAACAAGTAAAAACATACAATACACGAGAGTAGTGAACCAAACAAATATACAATTTACACACGAAGAAACCTAAATACTAAGTAAAGGCCTTAAATATAATCTACATCACAAGAACGAAAAATGGATTGAGACATTAGCCCTAGAATGGTAAGTGACAGACCCACCCTCTCATCAGAGAGAGCACCCCACAACAACAAACCCACAACTGTATGACAGTAACAAAAATCTGGTCATAAGCCCCAGATGGGTACCTTATTCCAAGACAGACTACCGGACTGATTGTCGGTCTCATAAGACTTCACTTCACTTCACTTCACTT